CAGCTGATTATCAATGACCTATGCTGTTAATAATTACAGTAATTTGGCAGTTTGATTGCTTGGATTAAAAACAAAAGGTCTAGGACTCAACAGAAAGAAATATTTCTTAACATCAAATATTAAAGATAGTTTGAAGCATTCATACAATTGAAGGTTTTAGAAAGTTTGATTATCAACTACATTTACATAAAGCAATATCAATTATGTTATATTGCCTGCGAATATACTATAAAGTTGCAATTATTCTTCTCTAGCTTCTAACACATTTTAATCTTGATGTGATTCCATGGAACTATAAAATAATATATATGTTGCATGTATGTATGTAATAAATATACAAATAGTAAGGAGTAAGAACCATTTTTGGTGTCAATGTTTTATATATTGACTATTTAAGATTTTAAGTCTATTTTTGCCATTGATAAACTGTGACTAAAATATGTTTTTCAGTGTCGCTGTCTTTTACAAAAGAATATGCAGATACATTCACAATTTTGCCATGAAGCAATGGCGATGGCTCAAAATGTTTTATTTGGAATTGGTGGAACTATATTTATATATGCATCAACAATGATGGTTTGTCCATAAGGTTTGTCCTATGGGCGCCCTTCATACGGGTCGACAAATATTGATATTTTCGAAATAAAAAATTAAATTCTGCCTACCCGTTATTCACAATATGAAGCTCCAACGATCTGGCATCATTTACAACAAGTTGCACACTTGAAAAACCAAAATTGACTGCATAAAAGAGGATTTATTGTCAACTTTGTCCATTTCCGCAATACAAAATATACAAATTATCACGCTCCGGGGGAACGACCAATATGGCCGCCGCGCGTAAACTGCGACTGCGATCAGGCTTCAATTTTCGCCTGCCTACAGGGTGGGATGCGCTATCTAGTGTATATGAGATATCTATGGTGGTAATAGACCATGGAGTTGGGAATTATTAGGTTCCTGGATCTTTTTCAATGTTTTATGGCACAGAATGTGTCGTCTATCTTCTAAACGAGAGCATCGTTAGGCACATTAATTCGGGATGTCGTTACCAGCCGATATGGTAAGATAAGCATAAAGCTGCTACCAGCTGATATGGTATCTTATGGAACATGATTAAATTAGAAGCGCCATACTTCGAAGCAAAACTTCCCGAAGCGAAACAAAATTACAAAGCGAAACAAAATGAACTGCCCAGTATTAAGAGCGCGTGACGAAATCCACGCGGTAGCCGTGTCTCGCGAGCATAATCACTTCCGAAATATTTGAACAACGATCAACAAACAAATTATAGGCCGCCATATTTTTTCGGTACTTTCGCATAAACACAAAACAAAACAAAAAACAAGAAACGATTGCTGTATTAAACAAGTTCACTTGCCAGATCAACTGCCTAAACCAAGACCAGGGAAATGTTAGACTGTGGAACGAACAGTCTACGACGGGACGCGAAGTATAAGATTTGGACAACTTGTCGAATTCACAAACGTAGCTTGCTGTCGTTTACAGACAGTTCACAGTATGATGAGCAAACGTAAACGGCTCAGTTCGGTGTAGTAACAGACAGGTCTCAGTATGGTGAAAAACACAGTTCGCGCTAAAAGTGCAAAACTGCAAGTAAACCCACTTACCCAAGGGGTAGCTAGTCACTAACATACCCGCGAGGATACAACAGACAGACACATATTTGTATTATTCCTCTTTGTTGTTTTTTTTTCTCTGTTAATTAACTGTGTATAATATTAATTCCCACATTGCACCCAAAGCAGACTGAATCCTAAATATCATCCGCAAAACTGTCGATGAAAGTCAATGTAGACTAGACTACCACTTGCCTTAGTCAAGTTACGATTGGGCGATCAGGCGAGCCGCCAATTCCTTCAATAATGCATGCTAGAAGGAGTACGACTGTATATTTAGTATGTGGGACCAGTCGCAAGCACTCCTGCAAGTTAAAGCGAGATAGTACGTCAGCAATTACGTTCTGTTTACCAGGGACTTGTGCCGCAGATATGCGAAAAATCGTATTTTGCCGCCAATAAAATTAGAGCGAATGAATTTCTGGTTGGGTTTGGATGTGCGAAGCCGATTTTTAAGGCGTTACAGAAATGTGCGGCCAAGTGCCACAACCACACTGGCATGGCTGAGTTTACCCACCAAGGATTCTAATTCCTTACGTGTGTAACGCTTCTTGTTCTTCCACGCTACTATCGTGATTCGCAGTTCGAGTCATTTATTATCAGGCAAACGTGCTGTCATGGTGATCGAGTTCAGTTCGCTGCCGAGAAAAGTAACTATCATTCTGATGGCACCTGGAACAGTACTGTACACGACTGGAAATTCGTTTTTCAAGATACCAACGTTAACGCTATGATCAGTTAGAAATGATACGTCTAAAAATTAGCCGCCATGTCTTTGGTTTGGTTTTCTTCAGAATTACTCCAAAGGCAAAGGCAAAGCGAATGCTGTAAAATTTGGAGAGGGAGGGTGGTCAAAAGGCCCAATCCCCACCGCGCATGAATTTCTTCAGCCAGATACTTATCAATAACATGTGGATGCATGAGCATCCGCTCAGGAACAGTTTGACTGTGTGAATATTAGAGGAATTCATCTCTATAACAAACTCCGTGCGAAAAACCCCTCTTTGAAACCATTAAGGCTGTAATTAACTTTTATACGATCAGGATGTGCTGTCACTTGTGTGTGCAAATGTCAACGTTAATAGGAAAGTTATCTAATACCGCTATAACTAAGTATTCTGTCAAGCCAGACCGCCCGGAAATGGCCGCCTGTGGAGTTTCACCTAACTCGCCTGACGACCGGGCACGTTTTGAAAAAGAAACCCAGCGGGATCTGCAAACTGAGTTTGCAACTTCAGGAAGTGAGCAAGGCTAATAGAGACCTTAAGATTGACGTTTACGGCAAACGTCAAACCGCTAGCGAAGTTTTTGATTTTACAACTCTATTATTATAGCTTTTACACCAGTTTTGAAATATGTTAAACTTATTAAACTTGTGCTCTTTAGCAATGATTTAAGAAAGCAAATTAACCACTAGTCGTGCCATTCACCAAAGCAATAAATTAAGATTTGGCGTTTGAAGTTGACCTTTGGCGTATAAATTTCATGCTGGAACTGCTACGAGGGTTTGTAGTCGTTAAAGCATGAAATTTATACGCCAAACGTCAACTTCAAACGCCAAATCTTAATTTATTGCTTTGGTGAATGGCATGACTAGTGGTTAATTTGCTTTCTTAAATCATTGCTAAAGAGCACAAGTTTAATAAGTTTAACATATTTCAAAACTGGTGTAAAAGGAATAATAATAGAGTTGTAAAATCAAAAACCGCGCTAGCGGTTTGACGTTTGCCGTAAACGTCAATCTTAAGGTCTCTAATAGCATTATTAATTGCCGCAATAAGATGTCATCAATCCAGGTTCAGTGGCTTAAACGCAGTGTGAAACCAAATGTAACAGTGTACCATATTGGCAATATACCAGGATGAAATTTTACACTGTTGACGTTGACTGTTAGGGCCAGGCGATAGCGGAGAAACATATTTACTAATTATATGAAACCACAAAGACTTGTGCTCCGTCATTCTGCGTAACTATTGTATGAACATCTCATATGCCTGCCGCCACGGCATTTACGAAAGTGTCTCGAAACCTATATTTGCCGTCTCAGTATAACAATCCCGGCTTCAATCACAACTAGGTCAGCAACTCGCATGCACTATGCAGTTCTTCACTACACACCCCTCGTGCATGTTGTGCTAACAAAAAAAAAATATATAGATGTAGGACTGCTCATTATTATATACGTGAAACGTATACCATATATCTATTGCTAAATAATCCACAAACTGGCTTATACCGCCTTTTCCTTGGGCCCTAGTGCGCCCTGGAGTCTGGCACAACGTTTAACCAGTTTTACTGGAATTGGAGATCTGCCAGGGAAAAGGACAAAGCGTTTTCGGGCTTCGAGTTAGAAACAAACACAGATGAACACAAGTGTCTAGCAAGTTCGTGATTTTCCCCATATTTCATTGGATCCAGTTTGCGCGAGGTTTACAGACGGAATGGCGTGAGCTTCTACGCCAACTATTTCGCTATATTTGCGACAAAACAATGGAGCATTCAACATGCCTGTGTTCTGCCGAGACTGTGAGCCTCCTACCTGAGTCTGTAGCTGATAGACCGTCCGCGTAGTAGCCCGAGACGTGTTCGCAGGATTCCCCAGTTCTTCCAAACCGGCGCTCTCGAGTCGATCGGTGCGCTTGACTGGCGCAAAACTTGAGTAATTGCCGCTTGAAGGCCCGTTGCAAACTCCGGTGATTGGAAAGCAGAACTCTGCCAGACGCCATAGCCAATTCGTACAGGCAACCACTCAGAACGCGCAACACGAACACAAAATAACAAAAAATATTCAAAGCGCACGTTGTCGTCGTTTGGACGTCAGACTTGGAATGATAGATGTCACCTACTCCCATTGCGCCATCCCCCCGGTCATGTGACGTCAGTATACCTGGTTCCCAAGTTGCTAACCTTGGTTATTGCATAACCTCATTAAAACATCATAACGTAATAAATTTAAACTAGGAGTTACTATCGCAAGGAAAATGCTGCCGATATGTACATGTAGGATGTGCTACAAAAAGAGAGTTTTTTTTCACTGTATGTATGATTTATTGTCTTACACATCGTCGTTCCTCAGTTACCTTCGTAGAATTATATCTTACATCTAATCTTATGAAAAGTATATTTTAATATACTTAACAGTGCGACTTTGATAGTTGACACATAATACAAATGATAAAATGTGAATATTATTGAATGATTTTGTCACTCGTACAACTTTTAATTTGGCTATTCAAACAATTGATTTAAAATAGTTGAATTTATACTTACTGGGATGTTATTGCTTATTGGGATGTTGAAATTATGTTTGTTTTAAATACATTTAATTGATATTCCATAAATTTATTTTGTATGATTTCATTGACCTTGTCGAGAATTCGCCTCCAAAATGTAGTCCTCGACAAGTCACAAATGTTCGAAGTAACAAAAATGTATATTCAAACAAAACATAAAATTTACCAAAGATATATAACAAAATTAAAAGGTTCACAATGGTCACGATTACATATAGATAGATAGCGCACGGGTTATTATCCCTCTTTCACAATACAATTTCTCTCTCACTCACTGTCACAGTCCAACTACGATTGTTCAACTAACTCTCTGCTCTCTTTCGTGACTATTTCACTCACACCCTCACTTTGACACCTAATCATTCCTACGTCATGCACTAATAATCAATTAAAATAATAATCTTATCTGTCAGTTCCCGACAGACCTTGACGTTGTTCAAAATCATTTCGTATTGTATTGAAACTGTATGTCTATGACCTATGTTATGTACTATATTAACCCATTGAGTCGCATTGCACCCTGATGTACCCTACTTTGAACAGTATTTTACTCTGTCTAACGCCAGACGATTTTACTCGTCAAGGGGAGAGTGCTGGCGCTTAATGGGTTAACTGATCTATCTGCCCATGTGTCTAGTTAACCCATTGGGTCGCATTGCACCCTGATGCACCCTACTTTGAACAGTATTTTACTCTGTCTAACGCCAGACGATTTTACTCGTCAAGGGGAGAGTGCTGGCGCTTAATGGGTTAACTGATCTATCTGCCCATGTGTCTAGTTAACCCATTGGGTCGCATTGCACCCTGATGCACCCTACTTTGAACAGTATTTTACTCTGTCTAACGCCAGACGATTTTACTTGTCAAGGGGAGAGTGGTGGCGCTTAATGGGTTAACTGATCTACAGTATCTTCCCATGTGTCTAGTTAACCCATTGGGTCGCATTGCACCCTGATGCACCCTACTTTAGTATTTTACTCTGTCTAACGCCAGAGTATTTTACTCTGTCTAACGCCAGATGATTTTACTTGTCAAGGGGAGAGCGCTGGCGCTTAATGGGTTAGCACGCCCAAAATCTGTACTAAAACTGCTAATTCTGTTTTGTGATTGGCACAGTTTAATCAAAGAATCCTCCCGTTGAACCAGAGCCTTCACGATATTTCAATTTATTATTAACTGAAGGCTCTGGAATCCAGGATAGCTTGCCATTGAATACAGTGCAATGCTTATATTTCTGAATGAATAAGATCATACTCAGAACAGTCAGAACTGCAAAACTATATTGTTAGAAAGAAGTTGAAGTTGTGAGCATTATTGTGGTAACACAGCCATATGTATATATCAATGTATGTCAGTAGAATCATGTTTATAGGCTTTATATATAACTGAGGCCTTATACAAGTCATATCTTATACAAAAGTCAGTTGATATGCTATATTACATGTAATTGCTGATAAGTCCATATATGCAGACAACAATCCACACTGGGTAGCTCTAGGAATCCTGTTAAGCCTGATTTAACAACATCCCGCGTTTGTTTTTAAACTATAAACATTTAGAAATAGAACGTACCGAACACTATTATATACTCACCGCCTTTGGCTTTGCACATATTAAGTGACATAACAAACAAATAAACTAAAAGTTCATTTGCTTCTTGTATCAGCATAAAGGCATTAATCATTACTGTCGATTTGGTCGGGAATAGATCAGTGATTCAGTGGGTATTATAATTGCCGATATATTCTTGAAATCATTTTGTTTCAATGCCTCTATATCGAAGTTTAATACACTAAAGTGACTAAACAAGTATAAACAGCAGATTTAAATATAAATGCCTTCATGTATTATAAAATATATCAACAGACAGGTAGACAGGGCACACGGCACGACTACATCACTATACGAGAACGAAATAAAGCCATCCTTACCTGAATTATTCAAAATATTGTCGATCATTCTTGCGCCAGAGACACAAAATAACACCGTGCTTTATTTACCCATTCATCTTCACAAATATTACTCGGAATTTTTATGGAAATTCGCATTATTTTATGATTTTTACATTTCTGTCCGTTTATAACAGTCGCCATGTTGTGAACAACACCCCCCCCCGGGAACAAAAAAATAATATCAAAACAGCTAGTTTTGGCCCGTCCGTGGATGACAGAATGACATAAATCGAGATTGTAGCGGCTATAAACTCGGCGGTCACGTGGTAAGCACACCACGTGTAGAGATTAGTGTGCTGCCGAGCTACGCTCGGCAGCAATTATTGCACTTACTTGTATAAATCATAAGAGCTTGCATTTACAACGAATAGCTTCAAACAGAGCGCTTATATATGCTCAGAAACATTGATTAGAACGATTGTTCAAATATGGCGAATAAATTGACAAAACGAAAATATTACATGACGTTCCAACGAAAATAACAGAAAGGATTGCGGGCGCGCGAGCGAAAAGGCGAGGGAAGAAATAAATAAAAGGGATGAAACAAATATCACGTGACTTTTTAAAATGCTTCTAGACTATCCGTTTAAGCTTTTTGTGGTATTTTTAGGGCTCAGTAGATGTTATCTTACATGAACAAGCCTAGTCATTACCAAAAAAAGCACTGATCAATCTAATTTATGTGATTTATAACAGCGAGCATTCTTGGCCATTTTTGCGAGATGTGTTCCATAAGTAGCCTGGTCTCGTGACGTAATGACTAAATAATAATAAAACTAAATAATGTTAAAAAAACCCGTTGGTCGCTACATTTAAATATTTCATGGGAATTGAAGGCGGCGACATAGCCCTGGTAAACGCTGGTCACGTGACTCCAACATTACGTAATTGTTACTTTTTTCAACCGGGGGGTGAATAGGTGAAATTCGAAGACAAACAGTTTTTATCTCCGAAATACTTGATGGAAATCATCACAAATAGTATGTACGAGATTGGCTCCATTTTCACTGCTTCGAAATTCGAAACATCCCTCGGCGATTTACATGATGCGATATAAAAGAAGATTGGTGTACATTCGACGTAATATTATACGTAACATAATTATTAATAAGAAAGATTACAACAAAAAATAAAAGAATATAAATAATCCGCGGCAATTCAAGTTCCATTTGTGAACTTTTCGTCGCCCCCCTGTCTTTATTTCGACAAAGCCCGCTCGCAGGCTAATACTCCAAGAATCTTGGAGTATTTGCCTGACACGTGACCAGCGTTTACCAGGGCTATGTCGCCGCCTTCAATTCGCGACTAGCCCTGGTACGAGGTTGATCACACGATCGCATTACCGGTGTTTCATCCCTTCTATTAATATCTATTACCCTCGCCTTCTGCTCGCGCCCGCAATCCTTTCTGTTATTTTCGTTGGAACGTTATGTAATATTTTCGTTTTGTCAATTTATTCGCCATATTTGAACAATCGTTCTAATCAATGTTTAGACAGATAGATAGATAGATTTTATTTTGACACGCTAACTACGTCAATTAAAAAACATTGATTTCCACGAAGGGCGTGTGTTCAAAAGTTATTATATATAAATGTTGTTATGACTCTTATGGAATCAAATAAAAGAAAATAGAAATAATCTAACTGTTCCAATTGACAAAATTGACAATATAGACAACTAACAAAACATATAGATAACTATTTACAATAAAGGATATATATATGTATGTATAAATATGTTATTTAGTAACATGAGCAGCAATTTTTCTTTCAAATAGAGACTGGGACCTAATTCCTCTGATTTCTTTAGGCACTGAGTTCCATATTTTTGCCCCATTAAACATAAAACTCTTTTTCATGCTATTTGTTGCGGGGCTGTGGCAAAACGAGTGTTGTTTCATTGTCACGGAGACAGTAATGTGTATTCTCATTCTTGTAGGTAAAAAGGTCTGTTCGACTTTTAGGCCCAGACATATTCAAAATTTTGAACATTAATTTTGCCTTAGCTTTAGTTCTTTGTACTTTTAGTGTCTCTCATCCTAACGAATTTAATGCGATTTCGGCATTAACTTCGTTACCCATGTCCATAATAATTCGAGCGCATCTATTTTGAAGCTTTTGTAATCGTTGTGATTGAGTTTCACCAAAAATGTCCCACACTTCACAACAATAAGTAAAGTATGGTTGTACAATTGCGTTAAATATAGAAACAAGTGTATTACGGTCAACAAATTCTTTTAGTTTTCTAATAACAGAAATGGCCGATGTGATTTTCTTACAGATACTCTCAGTGTTACTTTTCCAAGAGAGATGCTGATCAACTATTACTCCTAATGTCTTGCATTCCTTCACTTGTTTAATTGGTCTGTTTTCAATCATTATGTTTAAATTTGAATCTGAAGCAGTATGCACTAGAGATCTTGATCCTATGAGCATAAATTCAGTTTTGGCAATGTTTAGACTCAGTTTGTTCGCGTTTAACCACATTCTGAGGTTTTCCAAATCAGAGTTCACTGCATTTTCAACATCATCAATTGTACCACCGGAAGCAGTGAGGTTTGTGTCATCTGCAAAAAGTCTTGCCTTTGTTTTATTTAGGCTTTCAGATAAATCATTTATATATATTAGGAAAAATAAAGGACCTAAAATGGAGCCTTGAGGAACACCACACTTAACTTTGTGTTCAGACGAGACAACACCATTTACTTGGCATTTTTGGGTGCGATCAGTAAGATATGATCTCAGCAACAAATGTGCCTTATCCTTAATACCGTAAATTTGCATTTTCTCAAGTAGAATTTCGTGATCTACGGTGTCAAATGCTTTTTTTAGATCTATAAAAGCTACTAAGTTAAACATTTTTCGATCCATGTTAACATACCAACTATTTGTTGAATCTAAAAGGGACGTAGTGGTGGAGTGAAACTTTCGAAAGCCAAATTGGTTATCAGAGAGAATTTCGTTTTTAGTTAAATAATCATACAGCTGGTCATACAGTAATCTTTCCATGATTTTGCTTATGACTGGTAGTATCGATATTGGCCTGTAATTACCAGGAATATTACGATGACCACTTTTATAAAGAGGTAAAACTCTAGCTACTTTCCATTCATCTGGAAAGCTGCAAAGAGTAATACTTTGATTAAAAATATATGTAAGTGTAGCAGAAATAACTGGTGATGCTAATTTAAGAATTTTACTGGAAATTTTGTCAATACCACATGCTTTTTTACAAGACAGTCCTCTTAAAAGATCAAAAATTTTGTTTACCGCAATTGGTGTAAATGCAGTGAACTTGGATTCAGAACTTTTAGTATACTTTTGAAAGTCACAGCTAGATTCATCCAACTTGCTTGCCAAGTTTGGTCCAACATTTGCAAAGAATTCATTTAACCCTTCTGCAATCTCTGTAGGATTTGTTAATTTAGATTCATTAATAACTAGTTAATTTATAATCGTGGGTTTCTTACCCTTTCCGATCAAACTATTAATAGTTTTCCAAGCCTGCTTTGGATTGCACTTTTGGTTAGCAATCTTTTTAGAATAATAGTCTGTTTTGGCTTTCCTTAATTCGGTATTTGTTTGATTTCTGGCTTTTTTATAAATGAGCCAATCAGATTCTTGTTTAGTAATAATTGCTTTTCTTTTCAATTTATCTCTTTCGGTTATGAGCATTTTAATTTTGCTTGTAAACCAAGGGACACTTTTTGATTTTATTTTTTCTGAGCATATATAAGCGCCCTGTCTGAAGCTATATTCATGATTTATACAAGTAAGTGCAATAATTTAAATTTATTACGTTATGATGTTTTATTCATATTACGTTTAATTAATATGTTTTATTCATATTCATAACACAGCTCTTTGTTGGACCCCCTGTGGTTCCTTTTGCGATTTCTTGTTGCAAATTACATTTTTATCACCCGAAACTATAAAATTGCAATTTTCCAAACGCAACAAACAGACTCCTCTACCACCCCTCCCTGAGATCAATTCAATTTACCACGCAGAATCTGCGGGGTCACGTGACCAGCCCCGACCAGAGTCTTCGCTTCACGAGAGCAAAGAGACTGGGAACCAGGTTGATCTATATGATGACTTTTAAAACGCAATTCTTCAATTGCTCTCTTTAGAACTATAGTTTTGCCGAGGAGAATGTAAATTATTGCCTTGCAATAGCAGAAAAAGCCTTTGGCCTTTTTGACAAGATTTAGAGATTTAGCCGAGTTATTAATGGTAATATACAGGGTGTATCAAAAAAAGCGCAATCCTCGACTGAAATGTAAATTGCTAAACAAATAATAGACGAAAACGTTAAAGTTTACATTCATTTTAAAGCGTAGTCATTCAGCTTTCTAACAGTGGGTTGCTTCTTAAATTTGACTCATTGGTTCGCGGGTAATAATACTTTACGTTATTGCGATTGGAGATTAAAAAAAGTGAGATGGAATAACTAATCGTTCTCATGAAAATAACTGATTTTTTCATTAAAACAAAAAAATGTTGCATTTTATTAAATGGATTGTAACAATAAGTATAATTACGGCTTTTCTTCCACTATTTATAACTCAGTTTGAAACTTCAAATGCGATATAATTTTGGCTTGGACCATCTAAACTGACTGACATCAACTTGCTATAATTTCTGTTTACATTACATCGCAATTCGATGACACTCTGGTTCAGACACCAGAATGTTTTGACGATTTTTAGCATTCGTTTAGATTTTCAAACAACCTGGTCTCTTTTAAAATACTTTTAATTTGTTCTTACGTGGTTTTCCTGATGTAGTGACGACAACATTAAAGTTTAAAGAAGAAAATTCTAACATTTAAACCGACTAAACAATAACATAGTAAACTTGCATAATTAAACAGCAACTAAAAATGATAGGTTTTACTAATCTTTTCCTGTGCAATTATTACTAGCATTGGAGACAAGGATAATAGTTTGTTTGAAAGAGAAAAGAACAGGCTTCGAAGTAAGCCTAAAAGCGTTTAACTAGAAATAGTATTTCGAAAGTTATTAAGCACAAAAGATGAATTGCGTTTATTTTGATACACCCTGTATACAATACAAAGAAGTATAGAAATTTCGTGTTATCTGCTGCCTATTATTTATTTATTCATTATTTCTACTAAAAAAGTGTGGGAAATCTCACTGAAATAGCGAATATGACTGAAATTCCTTCGACACAGCTTCGAAATTATCATAGACAGTGTTTCTACTTTTCAAAATCGAAATTTCCTTCAAATTTCCGTTACGGAATTTTCCTCTCTCATTAACAAGGCCGAAAAGCCGTTATATACCGCTATAATGTACTCGTGTTCTGTACTCCGGTTTAATAAAATGAATGCAAAGCCCGTGTTGCATTGACGACCATGAAAACATTTCGAAAGTCTGGTCTCCAGTAGTGTCTTCATGAGGACTGATCCGAAGCCTCAACGCAGCTCCTATCGAAAAATTACGGAATCAATAAAGATAATTTTAAATTGTAATATTAAGTCGGTGAAAAAAGTTATATGGGCGGGCCAAAAGGCCGAATGGGAGCACGTTTAATTTAAGAGAACATCAAAAAGCAGTTTTAACAGTAAGCTAGTAGAAATTATTTTTAGCTGATCAGGAGTGTCAAACGAAGCATGCGATTGCGTCTAAAGACTCAGCATTATGTAGAATTCCCATGCAATGCAGAGCGGTCAATAGAAGGGTGCATGCATGGTTTATGGTTAGTTGGGTGGATTGGTCTTTTGTGATTGGCTAGCTCATTTGATGCACTCTTGATGTATCTGCAGTAACTATTGTTGAATGTTTAGAATAGTTGTTGAAACGAGCAGGTTTGACTGTTTGGCATTGCTATTATTCAGGATTGGACTAATTATATCATCTGCAGACTTTTTGCTCATTATCCTCATGATGTGTTATGCTCGTTTCGCCTTGCCTAACCATCAACGATTGTTAAAGTTTTTAAGAGAGACGCACATTTTCCGACCACAATATACATTTTCCGACTGGTAGCCTTTCTGAATCAACGTTGTTGTTCCTGAAATCAACATTATTTGTTTCTAGAAAGATGATATAATCGTCAAAGAGACAATTATAGTGATTCGTTATGACGTCACTCCATTGAATATTATAGACGTCACTCCACTGGGATGTCAAAACTCAGCTATTGAATTGATATATGACGATTTCACAGTTGGCTTTTACCCAATCAAAAACCATGAATCTTTTAAATAAATAATAAGATCGATTATCGCACGATTCTAAATACCCTAAGTCAAAAATGTGTTACGAATTAGCAAATTTATTTTGTTTATTTATTTTATTTTGCAAGCTTTGTCACAACGTTAAGATTACATAACAAATGACAATAATTCACTATAAAACGTTACAAATTGTGACAGGGGAATCACAACCGCTTTTCGCCAATTACTATGAACCAAAATGACACTTTGGTCTGTGCAACTTTAATTACTTAGATTATGAACAGAAGCCTCTCAAAACAAGTTGGCGAGATCTCTCATGACTGGCGAGGATGCTGCGGCGGTAGTTTCAGTGTTTTTCTTTCCCCTGAAGTGGATAATTTTACACTAAGAGGTAAGAAGTAGACAGTAGCTACTACCTTTGTAGGTAATTGTGATGTAGACATCCACTGTCTATAAACTACGTCCTCTTATTCGTTGAGCTATCCTGCGTCTATCAGCTTACGAAATGGCGACACAAAACCGTAGGGTCAGAAATCTGCATCTGACAGTCAACGTGGTGCATTGCGGGCGCACGAATACATTCGGAAAATACAGAAATATTGTATGTGTACAGTATGTCTTAGTTAGATGTGCAGTATAAATAATTATGCATTTCTGGCACTTGATTATGGAAAAGTAATGTTTCAAATTCGGTATAGGAAAAATTGCGTAAGGCAGTGTCAAAACACGCGTTTATATGCCAATACCTATCTCTTAAGCCTGGTTCACACTAACAATTCTGTTGGTGATTTTTCTCCTCCTGGGGAATGTGATTTAATGAATGACGTGCAAAAGACTTTCGAAAAGGTTCTATACTTTAGTGTGCGGGTTCACTCATTCACATTCGTCAGGGAGTTACAGTCGCCGACAAATTCCTAGCGTGATCTTGCTTTCGCGGGATAATTCAAGATGGAAGGCATTCTTGAGAAAGTGATCGCTAACTTACAAAATGAATTTCCCGGAGAAGCTAACAAAGGCGAATTGTTAGCTCGTGTTCAAGAAATTCCAATGGAGGATACGGAGTACAAGATTGTGTATGTTAAAGGAACTAGTAACAACTTCAAGGCAAACGTTAAGGTGGATTTTAAGAACGAAGTAGATGTCTATTTGTTTGTAAGGAATTATGGCCACAAGAACAATGAAACACTGAGAATCCTAAAAACGAGGAAATCAGGAAACAAGAAAGCGAAGACTGTCTTGCATGTGAAGTATTTTAGGTGTCACTATAACACCAGACATGAAGCTACAAAACTGCCAGATCAAGTTTTAGCATCTAAACCAACCAAGCGGTTCAAGAACACCAATTGTCCTTTCTCTTTGATTGTGCGAATTGGCCAAAATACAGAGAATAAAAATGTTTCTTCATCTATCGATATAGAATGGAACCATAACCACACGGTCGATTCACTGCACTCATGAAGCTTAAGAGATACACCAGACTCAATGATAAGACAAATCAAACAGATTTTTGCTCGTGGCCTGTTACCAGCTGCAGCCTATCGAAAGCTGTTGAGGTAGCTCAAGAGTAAAAGCAAGGATGATCTTGAGTATCACAAGAGACTTTCAGATCGTTCACAAGCACCAAGGCAAAAAGACTTCAACGATATTTACACAGAGTTTAAGAAAGAGCAATTTGGATGTGGAAGCATATCGACTATGTTTTCAGCACTTGAGGAGAGATGAAGGAACCTAGTAGAGCAAAAAGATGAGGACTATGTAATGCAATTTCAAAATTCTGAAGAGCCATTAACCAGCCGTTTATCCAGCTAGAGGTGTTTGTGATGCCCTTTCTTTAGGAATCATTGTAACCAGTGATGAAAAGAAACCAACTCTTGTAGATGCCTTAGAGTTATACCAATCCGCAACATCCGACTTTGGTTTTTATGTAGCTACAGCATCTGGCCCACAAGTATTCACGACCGACAACTGCTGTGAGCTAAGGGAAGCCTTGAAAGACGTTTGGCCCAAAGCAACAACGGTTGTATGCATTTTTAATATTCTTCAACAGGTAGTTATCAATAGTTTTGTTAATTTTTAGTTTCTATTCTTAAGATGCACCTAACTAATCAAGCGCTAGCACTATCACCAGTATAAGGATTACTGAAATCCTTAGCTAACCAATGTTATCTTCTCCATCCCCACTCGAGACCTGTCACCCCTATGAAAACGGGGAAATCAGCCCCCACGTTAAATAAACGAAGCAGGCAACACGATGGTCCCAGGAGAAAGAAGATGACGATTCGCATCGGGAAAAGACTTCGAAATGGTTATGGATATGGAACCCACGTGGATGCATGAACATGAAGCATAACAAGCAGCGAGAAAAGCAAAACCACGGCGGGGTGAGGAGCATGAGTGGGAAGCTCGAAGCAACTGATAGCGAACGCCTAACTCTTCATTCTATTCGCATTATATATTCATACAACAAGGTGTTATGCGTGACAGTGCGGGCGTATCTTAATTTAATTCTCTAGCTGTTAACTACCATTTATTGTGCCAGTAAAATACATTTTGTTACGAGCCGGTCCTTACTAATTTATTTGGCCGCGCTTTTGGTTCTATTTGCTCGCAACAAAGATTGTGAAACCAATTACTTTCAATGATATATTTATTTTCTTACTTATATATTACTCAATAATTAGCGTCTTTATAACTTTCCTTAATATATATAATATAATTCTTAGTGCTGTTCAACTTATCTCTTTTCTGTCTGACTGAGCACAACTCTTTTGTTTTCGGCTTCTTCACGTAACTTCGCTTTGTAACTTCAATAACTCTTTCGTATATAACTTGTATATAACTTGTCATAATCCTTCCTTAACAATCTTCTTTATAATAACTTTCCAAAATGATATTCACGTAAGGCGCTGAGGCCTTATAAATCATGTAAAGCGCGGAGGCCTATGAATGATGAATCATGTAAGGCGCGGAGGCCTTTCTATGAATAATGTATTAGAGTTGTGCTCTCCCTTATATATATTGTTCAGAGAGGAACTTTTTAACTTGCAGTGTCATTACTTAGCTTGGGAAGATCTTTACAATCTTCTTGCGGTAACCGATCCCGCGTCCGTTACGCACTTGTGGTAACCTAAATTTTTGCTTGCTCATGCGTGATCAAACTAAAAGAACTTCCCATGCGTAAAACAATTTCCCATAGGTAAATTCTTTAACTAACTTAGAGTAATATAATATAACCAAACTATGATAAACATATGATAAAAAGTATTAATGTATAATATATAATGTTGTAAAATATACATGATAATAGCTATCATGTAACAATTTATATACGAGGGCTTAATTATCAGTATATATAATTATCACGAATATACAATGGCGTAATTACCCTGTATTGTTTATCAGCATGAATATTTTAGTGTTGTTTTGTTATTCTTGTTACTGTATGTATGTTAAAGATGAGTTAATGTTAAAGATGAGTTAATGTTAAAGATGAGTTAATGTTAATTATTAATAACGCTGCGTAATAAAGTTTGCATTTTGTTGGTCTATTCTTTGTGTGTTTTGTAATATTTTTTTTAATAAAGGAGTGGGTTATATGTCTGTTTTTCCTGTGAAATTGAGAGCCAAATAATGAATGTATCAACCTAAAAAGTAGAAATATTTATAGTCAATAAGCCTACAAGTGCAAAAAATATTATTATGCAAGAAAATGAGCAAAAAGTGACTGTCGGTAAAATTCTTACATAAGAATTATTGAACTGAACCACTGACACAAGATATTTTTCGTAGGTTTCGTAGGAAGATTTAGAACAGATTAGCACCCTCTCCCGTAAGGCTGTCGGCTTTCGGCAGAAGATTTTGCAGGTAGGGAGGAAGAAGTTTTGTGATAAACGTAAAACTTTATAGGCATATTGTCATGTCACTGAGCGTTGGATAGGCCAGACAAGTTCAGAATTTGATAAGCGGTACACAATCATATACATTTATCTTGAAAGTCTCAAAGAGTTGTTCTTCTTTCTTTAGTTGATAAAGAACTACCTGTAAGAAGTAAAGCCCTTCTATTCGGCGCTTTGATGTTGGCGGTATGTTCATATAATATAGTTCTGGTCATATCTGGTGAAACAAGGTTTATATATACCTATATATATATATATATATATATATATATATATATATATATATATATATATATATATATATATATATATATATATATATATTTATAATATAGTCATTCACCGTATATGAGCTGTTCTGCAATCTGATTGGTTGAAGCTGATTGGTTGAGTAGCGAAAAACAAGATGGCGGTCCAAAAACTACATGAGTTTTGCGAAGCAGAAAAATAATAGTACAAGCAGAAACTCTCAAAAAAATTTGACAGGTTAGCAAAATACATTCATTACATAGAAATTAGTTTAAATACAAGTTTTTTAAAGAATTAATACCGAAACAACAGCGAAAAAAACATGTTCATTGAGAATATAAATTGTTCAGGATAGTTTGCAACGAAAGACAAATGAATTTTCAGTCAGCAAGCACTTACTATACTACCAAACATCTGTATAATATATCTGAGCTTTTCTGTGAGATATACCGGTTCTAAAACCATTTCTTTCACTTCGTCTTCGAGTTGTAAAACAAAAGTTAAAAGTATATTTCAAATTTTCGAGGCCAAGCGGTTTTTAGCCCAACAAATTGTCAAAACATTGTAAACAGAGGATAATTAATTATTACCTCAGTTAATGGCTCTTAGACTATATTATAAAACAATTATACCATTCGCTCTCGTCGTATATGGCTGATAGCCGACTCAGTGCTACGCACCTCATCGGCTATCAGCTCATATACCACTCGAGCTCATGGTATAATTGTAATATATTTATATATATATATATAATCGAAGCCGGGCGTTTTATAGATATGATAAAACACTCCTTCTCGTGTTTTGAATAGCTTAAAATACGACTACAAAAGAATACTAATTAGGATGAACAATTATATAATCATATTAATTAGGATGAACAATTATATAAAGGATACTAATGAAGATGAGTTTTATCAGATATAAAGTCACTCCACGTGACATATTATGGCTGACATGATTTGCCACAAGGTTTATGAATTTTTAATGATATTTTAAATATATTATGTACTATTTAAAACACGAGTAGGAGTGTTTTATCAGATATAAAACGCGAGGCGCAGTGCTTTAAATGGCTTAAAAAACGACTCATCTTATATGAGTTCATTGGCGAAGTATTTTTTAAAATAAACTTTGTCTAAACCGAGAAAATCAAAGCTAAAGTTTATGTAAATGAACATGATTTTTTATCACATATAAAGATACGACACGCTTATGATTTTTCTTTGTGTTTTCGTCCTGAATTATTAATGAGTTTTTTAAATATATATATATATATATATATATATATATATATATATATATATATATATATATATATATATATACGAATGTGGTTTGGTTCACAAAATGCCAAAGAGTGCTCGATGTCATATAGATAGAGCAGAAATAATACAGTTCTAAAAACGCAAATGTGTATATTATAAATGTACAATTCTAAAAACGCAAATGTGTATATAAATATATGATATGCTCTATAACATGCTTTTAATTTTCAAGAAATTCATTCATCGAGCATCAAAAACTATAGGAAAATATTTTGGGAGAGGACCTCTTTTTCATATTCAACGTTATTACGTCACTCCTTTGAATATGATTTCTTTCATATTCGACGTTATAACATCACTCTGTTGAATATTATGTCATATATAACTCATAACTCCATATATTTGGTCAGCTATTGAGTTGATATGACGATTTCGTAATTGGAATTTAGCCAATCAGAAACCACGAATCTTTTAAATAAATAATAATTTTATATGGCTCTCTTTCTCTATTCTATTCATATTTTAATCTATCTTGTCTTTTTATCAGCATTTCAATTACATGGAAGTTCTGTGAGCCTAAAGGACAACGCGTTGGGTACTTGGGTTGTAGAGATAATAAAATATTTTGTGCGGTACCAAGGGAAACAACATATCAGAACTTGTTACAGTATATTTCGTTCATTGATAATTTTGTAACGTAAAATATATATGTACTCAATTATAAATATATAAATATATATTTTACATTTTTTGAACAGTTTGCGATTAACTTTGATTCTTAATTTAGTGCGTACAAAGCGAACTTTTTTATTATCTCCCTAGGAGGCCGTTTGAAAATGAACAAGACTGCCGTTTTCAGTTTATCAATATCTATTTTCGTTCAGGAGTTATTGAAGTTTTTACATTCTTGTTGATGACATCGCATTCTTTGCACAGACCACACACGTGACATGGGTAGGGATAAAACGCTGAAACCGAATCGCGGAAACTGAAAGCGGAAACTGAAATGGGGATAAAACGCTGAAATGGGGATAAAACGCTGAAATGGGGATAAAACGCTGAAATGGGGATAAAACGCTGAAATGGGCAAATTTAATCGAATTCGTTGTTTGCTAGACCATTGCGAACACATGTAATTTGCCTATAAAACTGAATAAATATAAGAAAGAAGTTCCCGGTAAAATGACAACCACAAATTTTCGAAGAACGTTTGCTGCACTATTTTTAAAGTCGTTTGAATTAAATTTGACTACTATACCTCGCGGTAAAGATTGACAAATTATAAACCTGCGTTTTTAATAAACTGAATACTGCAGTGAGACAATATAATGCATGTTTATTATACAATATCCGCCATTATGCATGATAATCACACATGTTTTGACTCACCAATCAAAAATCAGGATTAAGAGCCGTGGCGGGTAAAAAAGGTTCGTAGTATATATAAAAATAAACACAAAAATACATGAATGCTTGGAAATCAATGGAATTTATCTCTCGTGTTGAGAAGATATCTCTCTCGTTCGCTGCGCTCACTCGTTCGATATCTTTCTCAACACTCGAAATAAATTTCATTTATTTTTTTCGTAGAGAAGTGTGGGTTCTACACGGCCAAAAACGCTGAGCCTGCTGTACTGCCTGTACTGTACTGTACCGTACCGTACCGTACCGTACCGTACCTGTACTGTACCGTACTGCCTGTACAACAGGTTGCAACAATATTATGCTGACCTATTTTTTACAGTTAACAACATTGAACAATATTATTCATTTTGGAATGGGTGCAACAATGCTGAACAATATTGTTAACAGTCGTGAACCGAATAGGTGTAGCACAATATTGTTGCAACCTGTTTTTATCAACATTGCAACTACAAGTTCATGATTTTTACGCGTGTATGCAGGAGAGGAAAAACGTTTTTTTCCGATTTAGCTACCTGATCACGTGTCCTGACAATTCCTGGGAAATTCCTGTGACACCGGTTTTACACCCAAAGTACCAGCCATATGGCAGTATCAAGATAGTATGCTATCACAAAAAGTTGAGTTCGAAGTTAATATATGGAGAGAATTGTAGATTACATTATTAATTAATAAAAGATAAACTGTCAGATAAAATTCGTTCTTCGAAAATTTGTGGTTGTCATTTTACCGCGAACTTCTTTCTTATATTTATTCAGTTTTATAGGCAAATTACATGTGTTCGCAATGGTTTTATCCCCATTTCAGTTTCCGCTTTCAGTTTCCGTTTCCGCGATTCGGTTTCAGCGTTTTATCTCTACCCCACGTGACATGTTATAAATGAGCTCATATCTTTGCATGTATTCAGTTGAAACAGTTGAAACTTTGCAATATGCGGTATTCATGAAAATACACATCAGTAGTGCGGTTTTGTTGTTGTCATGGTTACACACTTTGTTCCATATCCTCTCAGCCTCCACAACGAAGTTTTAATTTATTGGAGTACGTATTTAACGATATCAAATTGCTAAAATGATCAAGAGATTATGCACACAGTCACTTAGTCTCAAAACATATTAGATTTTTTGCTCTATTAAACCGTAAAATAGATTGGAAATTCATGGTGAGAGGACTGGGACCGAGAACGTTTCCATGATGACTCTGGTGCAACAATGTGGAATTTTATAAGTACTCCATATGTTGGAAATTTCATCCGTTTCTACTGACAGAGTATTGGCAGAGAAATAAGCTAATTTGTTTTTAGTCACATGGCCAGTGCAAATAGTGTCACATCATCAGTAAATTTAGAAATTTCAGATATTGACAAACAAAAAATGGAAAGATTTTTCCTTTTAAAGTGTTTGGGAGATAATATTCATAATAAGATATTCACTTCATATGCAATTCATTGTGAACGTCGTTTTCAACGCAGAAGGCAGAAGAAGAAACGGGATACTGCTTCGTGTCTCGCTGTTTTATCTGCGTGAGGGTGAGGATTAGAGTCAGTAGACGGTATTCATAAACAGCGGGACATGAATCTATAGCGGGAAGATACATTGAGTAACCACCAGTGAGCAAACTCAGTTTGCGGAAAATAATGTGCAGATGGTCAAAAATTGTCAAAATGTCTTCGTACTTCCTTGTCTTGCTGTAACTCTCTATTAAGTAGAAATACATGCATGCATGCAGAAACTCTCGCCTTACTTACCAAACCGTTATATTTTCCGAACATGAATTGTTTGAAGTATTTGTCATGGTAGCACGATAATTTTATTAAGAATTTTTTAATTTTTTAACTTTTAAAAATCCCCCCAAAATATAACTTTTAATTACAAAATTATCAATTCCCAAACGTATATACGTGTAAAATTTTATCGATAAACGTAACATGCATCTGACGCACGCCGACGCGAACATGCTAAAGTTGAATTACCGAATCCGGCCATTTTTATCAGTCTACATGAAATATACGCAAAAAATGGAAGAATAACTTAGTTATATGAAGAATATTAAATTTTTAGTATTCCCATGACCAAATCTTTGTCTAGCGGATGAAATATATAAAAAATTGTATCTAAAAATGTCGAAAATCAAGCCCCAGGCACTTAATTAAAAATACAAAATTTTTCCGGGGCCAGACAAGTTTCCGCTTTAATTTCCCATTCACCACCCAGCTCCTAGTTGGGTCCCTTTCTCCTGATGGCCCATCCACTGACAAATTCTTAAAAGAGGCCCAGGCCTGCTTATATTGATCCTATATTCTGGAGAAAACTTTGACCAATAACCCGCGGCGGGTTAAGCCCAGTAATAAAAAAATATAATTAAAAGTTTGGCAAGAATATTATATTGGTAGGGTAATGCATCATATGGGTAATGTAATTAATTTGGGCCAAATTGCGTATATATATATATATATATATATATATATATATATATATATATATATATATATATATATATATATATATATATATATATATATATATATATATATATATATATATGTTGGGTGTTGTGGTAATATACGTTATTATACGTAATATAACCTTCAATTCAATGTAAAATTCGGCGACTAACGCTTCGCAAACTACGTTTTAAAATGTTCTTAAAACCAAATTAAACTGCCTTTATCGATAAACTTTGTTTGAAATAAAATTATTTCAAATCCTTGCATGAAATAACTTTGCTCTTCTCTTTATTTAAAGATTTTTATATAATGAAAAGGGGTAATTAGTAAAAATACACTGAAATTAAATGCTTTCTTTTTTCATTACACGGAACGATCTGTTTTTAAAGCAATTATAAAGCAAACAACACGTTGATGTTTAAAAAAACTTAGCTTCATTAACGTCGGTGTGCTTGCTCCCTTCTTCTAGAAATCTTTCGCCTTATTTTCTCTAAAAGCTTTTGAAATTTACAAAATCTTCCAAAAATGAAATATATTTGCAAATTTCAATAAATGATTGTTATTTCGCTGTCGTCATGCAGTCGTTACAATGCAAATTTAAAATTAGACCAATCAGTGTTCGCTATTCATGACAGTCAGCTATATTTTGAGATCAGTGAGGGTGACCACCCACGAACGGTAAACGGTGAACCATAGCCATGCGCCCGCGATTATTGATGAACGTTAGACTTCGCTAATGCTTTCCTTAATTTCCCCGGGTGTAAATAGCCGAGCGGAATTAATAACCTCGCCGGGCTCGCCTAGCTGGGCTTAAGTCCGGAACGAGGATGATGCAAGCACATTGATCTTCGTTCTACTTGTTCGTTGTTGACATATGATTGGTCAGTTAGTCTTTCGTTCAGTTTGCACGTGCTAGCGAAAACAAAAACTTTGAACTATTGAATATTGCCTTCTCTTGTGGCTGTTGACAAGCCTGTCCTATTTCTGTGAGATTGGGGGTGAACATTGTGTTATAGATGAGTTAAAGAGTAAGTGCAATGAAATTCAAGATTAATTTCAACAGAAAAAACTCGTCAATGAAAAATATATAAGTCATTCAATAATATACAAATGAAATATTCATTTCCAGATCAAATCAAATCTCCAGCTCAAATTCCATTCCAAGATCAAATCAAATGTTCAGTTCTAATCAAATTTCCAGCTCAAATTCGAATTCCAGTTCAAATTAAATTTCCAGTTGAAATTCAAATATCCAGCTAAAATCAATTTTGCATCTCAAATTCCATTTCCACCTCAAATCCCATTTCTGATCAAATCACATTTCCCGCTCAAGTCAAATTTCTGTCTCAAGTTCCGGCTCCAATCAAAATTCCAGGTTAATTGAAGCTCAAATCAACTTTCCAGCTCAAATTCCATTTCCAGCTCAATTAAATCAAATTTATAGCTAGACCCGAAAAGGTCTTTTATTTTAAAAAATCCATAAAATTGCTTTAAAATGCAATGGTTTAACATACAATGCTTTAATCTTGCGCAGCGATACAACACACCATTCTTGACGTGCTATGGTTTCTCCAGAGTCCACTCGACCCAGTCTTTCGAGCAAGTTATGTATTGTCGAGATCTCGATATTGTGTCTGTGTGTATGTGTGCGTGTGTATGTATGTGTGTATGTATGCAAGTAAAGATGATTGTCGTAATTTCGGGGAAATAATTAAACTTCAGCAAATCTTTTTAAACGAGGAGGGCGGTCCAACTTTATTTTGTTTTTCGCACGCATGATTCTTCTCAGGATTTCAGTTTTAATACGAGCTTATATGTTGGATTTTCACGATGTAAACAATCGACATTCGACAATATTTTGAATAAATCAGGTAAGAAAGGCTTTATTTCTTTCTGGTGATATACATGAAGGCATAGTCATATAGTCATATAGAGATATTGAAACATGAAGGCATAGTCATATAGTCATATAGAGATATTGAAACATATGATTTCATGAATTTATCGGCAGTTTTAATAGTATTATAATTATACATACAAAAGCAAGAAATTATAAGCATTGAAGGTATTCATATAAAAACGCCCATGCCAAGAAAGTATAGAAGTAGAATATTTAGCTGACCTTCGACTTTGTGCAAGGTGTTTGATATTCATCAAATTGCACTTTTCCTACCTCCTGAACAGGCGTCTTAGGGCTGTTTACATGTTGGAAAGTGGGGTGATTTTGATGTATTTAAATAAGTCACTAGGCTAAACGAAAGTTAAAAAAATGTTAAAAGAACTCAACTGTTGTAGGGAAGATCTTGTAGTTCAAGACGATTAGTACTGCTGCTTGAACAACATTTCGCCTTTACAGATAACAATATAATCTATCTCTAGAAAATAATGTAGTGTTTTGGTGAATCGTGCACCGTGACTTATTTCAATACATCAAATTAAATAATCCCCTCACATCTCGTCTTGGCAAAACGGGATCATATAAACAGCCCCTTATTCAGTAAATTGTGCATGCCGCCTTTGATCTCTTGGGGATAAGGCAGCACTTTCCTTTTCCTTGCGATAGTAACTCCTAGTTCGTATTACATGAAGTACGTGTAACACCAACCTCCATCGCAGGGACTTCCCCAAAAAGACCCTGCGTTCGAGGATGGTGTAACACATACAGTGAATAGCGTTGCATCATTATGTATAATATATGGCAAGAAAATACAAATTCAAA